CAATGACCTGTGCTTTTCATAGCCCTGGTCTTGCTCTTGTACTGTCTAGTTTCCACTGATTTTCTGATTTACAAACCATACCATTATGATGTCATGCTGCCCACTTATGCTGTGTTCTCGCTATTGTTCAAGTGTTCTTGAATGGAAAATACTACGGTCTACCTCATACCTTGTTGGAAATTTTCAATAAATTGATCTTTGTAAAGCACTTAGAGGACACCGCCTGGGCCATTGTAGGCTTTCATTCAATATTAGTTATTCTTTTTTTCACTCATTAAACTACATGCTATGCTCTTTTATAGACCCTCTAGCTTTGTCACTAAACAAAAATGATATAAATTCTACCTTTGTGAAGTTTACGTTGCAGTTGGAGGAAGCAGATATTAAAATGAATTAGTCCCTCATCCAATGTGTTGACATGCTGTGGAGGAAAAGGGGGTTCGTAAGGATGGAGAGCGGTGTGTACTAGGATTTTTAAGAGGATGGTCCAAGGGGCAACATTGGAGGAATACTGGAGTGTGGAAGATGCAAATCTGGGGTAATAGTATCGCAAGCAAGTAAAGGACCAGTATAAATGCCCTGAGGCGGAAGTCAACCAAAGTACTCAAAGAACAAGGAAGCCGAGTGGCAAGAGCAGAATCAGTGATGTAGAAGACAGAAGAGATGGAGTTAGAGGTAACAGGGCACCAGATTTGTAGGTCCTTGAAGGGCTTTCGCCTGGGAGAGATGGAAACTTAGCAAAAGTCCAAGCAAATGAGTGTTATAATTAGACTTATTTATTTACAGGACCACCACAGTGACAGTTTGGGAAGAGACTTGGTAGTGACAGAAGCTGTGAAGCAGGGCCAGGGGACAAGGCCAGAAACAGGAAGATCAGTCAGGAAGCTATTTCTGAAATTTAGTCAAGAGTGGATGGTTGCTCTGACCAGTCCCTCTGTGGGGGAAAGATGAGGCTATCTATTCCAGTAAAAAAGCTCAAGTCTTGGAAACCCAAAAGGGGTAGTTCTCACCTTGTCTTGTATGACTGTTGTAGCGTGTGGTGTTGGATCGGAGCAGAATGAAGACATGGACACGGGAAATGTGGTTTAACACCAGCGACGGGCTGACACCTCTGGCTGGGTGTCGTGCCGATGACGGCCCTGCATGGTCTTTTATTCTCTCTGCCAGCTAGGGCATGGGTTAGATAGCACATGTGCACTGCCTCAAAGTACACAAGGAACAAGGGAGCAGACTATGCACTAGGTTCTCAAAGCAAACGACCTTATCAGGAAATTCAAGGTGTTCGTCATTGAGAAGGAACACAGCACCCGCCATCAGGTCCTGCTCCCAGAACTGCATCCAAGTCATTTGCAGCCCAGGTGCGCAGACCCCCCTCGCTTGCAAGGGGCATCTGGGGTCTATGGAAACCATGCCCTCAGCCTCTGTGAACTCCTTTGGGGCCAACAGATTGTTATGAGTTGGAATCAACTTAATGGCAGTGGGTTTGAACCAGAGTTAAGAGTTGTTCAGTCGAAGAGGAAAGATGGTGAATCTTGTGATAGGGTGTGTGGAAAGAGACTGGGTTTCCTAAGGGGTTGGATGTAACATTTGTGGGTGGGGGGGAAGGGGGCGAGGAGTCAAGAAGAACTCTGAGATTTGGGACACAGTGGCTGGAAATAAGTTTCCATGAATCAAATTGGAGAGGGTCTTTTGAAGTACTGGTCTAGGGAAGGGATGAAGGAGTCACTGTTACGTTCCTCCTCTTCTTGAGGTAACTGCGGCCAGAGTTATTAAATAATGAAGTGCTTCATCAGTTCTTCTCCTTTTGTTCTTAGTCCTATCTTTTATCACACTTTCTTTTCTTCCTAGCAGGCATTAGGCTACTGCATGTCTCACCCTATTGCAGCTCCAAACACTCAAACTCATTGCCATCAGATTGGTCCCCACCCATAGCAACCATATAAGACAGGGCTGGGACTGCCTCTTTGGGTTTCTGAGATGTTATGGAAGTAGACAGCCTTGTCTTTATTCCATGGAGGGACTGGTGGGTTCAAACTGCTGACTTTTTTATTAGTGGCTCAGGGCATATCCCACTATGCTACCATTGTATCAAATTGGTCTTTTTTCCTATTATAACGGAGTTCCTCAGAGAAGTAAATGGACACATTGTATGATCCTCTATCCCATGCATTTCCAAACTTATTTGACCTACTGCCCCCTTTTCAGAAAAAAAATTTTACTCAACACCCCCTGGCAATTAAAAACATTGTACTATAATAGCCCATAATCTAGGATAAGGGGTAGGTATCTGGTTTTACAGCCCTCCTACATCATCCAGTGCCGCCCCCCCCCCCAGGGAGCAGTATCAGCACTTTGGGAAACACTGCTCTACACTGAGAACATGACCTTGACTCCACTCTCTAAACGAGCAGGCCTACCTTCTCTTTCAATCCCCAGTACTGTTTTCATAAAAGAAAGCACCTGCTTATTCTTTCAGACATTTCTGTCCTTTACTTTTGCCCATTTTACTCATTTTTCTTCCACTTTAATTTCCATTAATCCTCCAGTTTTCTCGTAAATGGTACTGTCTGCTCTCATTACCATAAATTGTTCTGTGATCCCTCAACACCCCATAAATCTCCTGACCCATCCTTTCCTTTAGCCCTCAATTCCAACTCTGTCATAGGAAATTCGTTGGATGTTTCCCTTTAATCCATTGTAAACATAGACCAGACAATTGTTCTGTTGTACAGAGGGTCTCTATAAGCCAGAATTGATGCCATAGCACCGGACAACATCTCTGAAGATAGTCTTAGTTTTAAGTTTTGATAAACTGGATGTTCTTTAGCTATGCCTGGTGTTGTTTTTGTTTCATTTTTATAATTTCTGTACTACGAATTTCCATTCCCTTTCTAAGTGATCTTAGCCACCTTGAGTTACCAAGATCCTAATCGTGATCTCTTTGGCAAAGCCAGGTGGTTTTCCCCCCATCCTTCAATGTTGGACTTCTAACATTGGGTCACAAGTAATTGAGGGACAATCATTCGAATCTGAAAGAAAGCAGTGCTATTTGAACTTGTTTCTGTAATGTGAGCGAGATCTTCTGAGGATGCTCTTGGAGAGAGCTGTGACTGAAAACGTTGGCTAACCCCGGTGACAAGCAGCTAATCCAACCCTCTTGGCTTTATTTGCTCTGACACGCGCTTGAGTTTTTCACCCTCCCTCCCTCGTGGTGCCCTCACATTTGACTTCCCTTTGTCATGTTGCTGCCAATGTTGACCAGCTAATGAGAGAGTAAGGGTGACAAGGAAAAAACAATTTTGCTCAGCTGACTGCTTCCTGTACAAATAAGGGAGCACACTGTGTTCTTTGGGATTTCAGGCTCACTTGATAACACTTAAAAAGGGAAAATAAAAAAACTGTACACAAAGTTCATTTTTAAATGTTTTTACTTAGCAAAATTTGCAAGTGTTTTCAAAATATATTTGACATCCCGCTCATTAAGGGCCAGAATGGCTATTCCCAATATCCTTTAACACTCTCAACTGATCTTACCCCATCAAGCAGTACATTGTGGGGGGACGGGAGGGGGGGGGGAGGGGATCCACCCAAGTTGGTCTGTCTTTAGTGGAAAGTATGCAAGTGAATATCTCAGCCATTAGTGAAACACACACACACACAACCATGCATAGTTTAGAGATACTCAGCATTGAAGATTAAATTTCACAACACATTATGACTGCGACTGGGTTATTTTCGTACCTTAGTTATCTTCAGTTATTTTTAGCAAGGGAGCTAGACTTCACATTCAATGCGGCCGTATAAATTTAAATCCACAAAACGGCATTAGAAGTGCCCCGTCTATCTTTGCCTAAATCAAATACCACCTTCCTGAGCCCCACGGTTCTAAGCCATCCTCCCTCCTCTGAGAGTCACTGAAACCACCGGGGGTCCTTGTTCATCCCCGAAACAACTAAATCTGTCTGTCTGATGTGTCGATGACTATTGTGAAAGGAAAGGAAAGGAAAGGAGAAGAGTAAAAATGCGCACTGCCATTGGACAGGAGCAAAGAGGTCTTTGAATCTGACAAATCTGGCTTTGTAAGGCCTTCTTCTTATTGACTCCCCAGGTGAAATGGCAGCTGCCCTGACCTTGTTGGTTGAATGGAGAGAGTGAAATCCCCCTCTTCGAGTACCAGGAAAATAACACCCAGTAAGATCGTCAAACGCCCAGCCTAGGAGAGGCATTGACAGTTACTTCATCTGCCCCCACCCCAGCAGACCACTGCAGCTCAATCCTGCAGTAGAGTTGGTGGAACGCCAGTCTGCCCGTGGCTATAAAGGCCTCCCAGGCACAGTCTTGTCCACCTTCCTATCCCCTGAAGAGCTGTATGCGTGAAGTGCAGATTCCTATTCCAGGGCGCAGCAACTGCATCGTGGATTGAACCGGAAGCTTAACTAAGATCAGGTCTAAGCTGGGCATCCATTAACTGGGGATTTTTACTCTATGGATTCTGTTGGTAATATGGAGAGCTCCATATAGCTCAGGTCTCCTTGGCCTTCTGAGGGTCCTGTAGTAATTACATACTCTGTTGTCAATTTGAGATTTTAAGAGTGAAGGGGTGGAGTTTAGCCTGTCAATCAGGTTGCAGCTTGATGACCTCATTTGGAGGCGGTAAGGAGATAAATAGCTCGCTGGAGGTGGGACAAATGCTCACTCCCTGGGAGACATAGCAGCTGACAAGATACTATGCTAGTATACTGACAAGCTATGCTAGTGCCCTGAGCTTGATGCGCCACTTGGAGACCCCTGCCAGTGCTGAGATGTGTACACCACCACTGGATCCACAGGACTTTCTACCCACTGGCCTGTGATCTTCCTGTATTCGGTGTCATTGCATGTGCTTCATGAGTCTAAAGAGGATTTTATAGACTGGTATCAGACATATGGGCTAATATCGGACTTATGGACTTGATCTGGACCTGACTGGGCTGTTTTCTTAATGTACAATTACTCTTTATTTAAAGCTCTTTCTTATACACATGAGTGTCTATGAATTTGGTTCTCTAGTCTGCCCAGACTAACACAGGCCCCCTGCCTTTTCAATCAGCTGTACAGGACACAACTACTTTCCTAAATTCCTGGGCAGCTGATCAGGCTGCGGATCCATTTCTCATCGTAGAAACAGCTGGAGATACAGATCTTTGTCTCAAAGAGAGAAACTGAACTCCCTGCCGTATGCCAGCAAAGCAACACGCTGTGGTGACAAGAGTATTGAGCTAAGAGTCGGATCAACAAGGGTTCGAAACCCAGCGCGACCCCTCACTAGCCAGGAGACCCCGAGCAAGCTCTCTGCTCTTTGAGCTTCAACTGTATTAAAACAAAAACAGAGGCAGGGGGGGATAACAGCTCCTCTTCGCTCATCTCACGGGGTTGCTTGCTGGGTAGGAAGGGGATGCCTGGGAAAGCCCAAAGCAGGATGCTAAATCTAGAAAGCTGTGGTTCCCTAGCCACAGCAAGCTCTTCTTTTTTCCCTTCGTCCTTCCACCAGCAGCCAGCTCGCACATAGTTTCAGTGGGTTCAGCTGAGAAGGAGGTACCTTGTGTTACCTGGGTCTCTGTAGCTATACCTGTGTGTGCTTCAGTGATGAGCTCTATCTAAGTGGCTCATAGGTTTAGTTTTATTCCCCCAAACAGTTCCAAGGCAACAAGGAAGTGTAGCACTGAATTTATCACCAGACACATGCAGCGTCTGTCAGGCTCAAGTTTGCTGGAACTGCTGTGTGCCTTTCCTCTGAGGCTGGGGCCCGGCATAGCCAAACTGCTTCTGGCTTGTTCTCCCATGCCAGTCACAGCTACCTGGGTGACTTATTTCAACGGGGCCGCCCGCCAAAGCATAATGCCTGCCCAGAATACACGGGGTGGGCTGGGGGAGAGACTCCCCTACCACAGTTCTCGGGTTCAGGCCGAATCTCTGCTTCTTCCCGGTCCTCTTTCGCACTTCACCTCTGGATGGCAGGAAGCGGGGAGGCCGGGACAGCTGATTGGCCAACTAGACGCTGCTGATGGAACAACGGACCTGGCCGAACTTCTGAACAAAGTCTTCTTTCGCCTGGGCCAGTGCGTCTTCGTCGATGTACACGGCGGGCCTTTTGGACATGAGGAAATACTGCACCTTCCTGAGGCTCCAGCCCTGCACGTAGTGCAGCCAGCCGCAGACGGCCGCGGAGGACCTGCCCACGCCCGCGTTGCAGTGCACGTACACCGTGTGGCCGTTCTCCAGCAGCGCGTGCAGGAGGCACACCGCCTGGGGCAGCATCTGGACTCGGCCTGCAGCGGAAAGCACATCACATGCTGGTGAGCCACAGGGCCCCCAGGTGGCACTCGTCCTACCCACAGTCCCCCTGACCCCCTGCAGCCGCAGTGCCCCGGGCAAGGAGCAGGCATGGGTATCAGAAGATACCCTGTCCCCGTCATGAACTGTGCACAGGAGACACCCATTCACAATGTGATCACCAGGAGGGGAAAGCACCGCAGAGGCAGTGGGCCACTCCCCCTTCCCTTGATATTGGGGCTCCCTGGAGTGTTTTTTTGCATAGATGCACATTTCTCTCCAAAGACAAGTTCACGGCTGCCAGCCATTGAGAAAGGGCTTTTTCCATCCCATCAGAAGATTGTGTATAGGCTGGGCCATATCACAGTCAATTCAATGGCAATGGGTTGGGTTGGGTTGGGTTGGGTTTGAAGCCAGGAGAATTTCAAAAAGACTCTGTCAGGTTACTAAACCTTAACGTAAAAAGATCCTCAAGGTAAAAATGCAGAATGAGTCCACACTGGGTAAAGGGCTGATCGGATTCACCCGACATATGGTAATTGTCATGTACCCAATGGAGTGGACACATGTGGGAAAAGTGATCATTCACTCACTCGCCCATGATACAGTGAGTACTAGAGCGGACTTAACGTTAACTACGTTACAGGATAATTGTAATTAGCGTTATAGCCTCTGCATGATTACTGATTCTATCAGCAGATGATCCCAACGTCCCCGTCTCAGCACTAGGAGGAAGGCTGTGCTCCGCTCTGCTGGGCTTGTTAGACCCCGTCCTCTCTCAGCTCCTGACACGGGCCATTTCTGCTCCTCACGGATGCTCGCAGCACCACGATTTTGTTTGGGGAGAGGGAGTGTCAATTCAAACAAGAGTTCAGCAAAGGCTCCCTGTGGTTTGAAGGCCCTCGTCTGGCCTCTACCTCAGCTTCAGGCTCACCACACACTGCGACGAGAGCAGAGAGATGTCTGTGTGGAAGCCAAGAGAAGGCTCTGATCTTCCTAGTCACGCTCTGTTCATCTCGCTAATTCTCTCCATTGCCACCGACTTGGTCCCAACTCAGCTGCAGCCTATAAGACAGAGCAGAGCGGCCCCTGATGGTTTCTAAGATTGCAGGTCTGTCCAGGAGCTTACAACCTCATCTTTCGCCCTCAGAGTTGGGTGGGTTTGAACTGCCAAACTTGTGGTTAGCAGCCCAGCACTTTAACCTACTGCGCTATCAGGCTCCTTCTAGCACCCACTGCCACCGAGTTCTGTGTATATACGGTGTGTGTGTCAATCCCGTTCTAGGAATCCTGAGCTAATACATAAAGGACCAGGGAACAAAAAAGAGAATTTTGGGATTCAGAACTCACCTATATCCTGAGCAATATAGCAAACTTCAACTAG